ATCAAATATAGAGCAGACTGGTGGTTGTCAGACGGGAATGGGGTGAGGCAATGGGTGAAATAGGTAAAGGGAATCAAGTTCCAATTTACAAAGTTCCAATTGTAAAATATATGGGATGAAAGTACAGCATGGAGAGCATACCTCATAAATTGTGACATCTTTGTGTGATGACAGTTGGAAATACAAATACACATAATTTTTAATCTGTATGTTGTACACCTGAAACCAATATTGTATATTAACTATAGTTCAGTTAAAAATAAAATAACCAAAAATTACCTTCCCTGCAAATGCATAACTTTCCTAAAATCATCTCACTAATTTCCCATTGTTTGCAGAAGTCATGTTCCCCGAGAACATCCCCTTGGATGGATCCCTTTTTAGGACTAAAGACACATTCCGTGTAACAAGCCCTTAAGCCTAAATCTTTCCAGCATTCCTGGGATGCAGTCCAAGTCTCACATCCTGTGTATGCATGTGCAATGCTGGTCTTTTTCAGCATTAGTATTTCGTAGGCAAGACAGGATTTTCCACATCTTCAGTCTTCCATTTCTGAAAGCTACTTTGTAGGGATGAGAAGCAGAATGAGTCAGTTTCTCTGCAAATTGTGATAAAATTCAAATTGCTTTTATAGATTTTACAATTCAACTAACAGTATTATTTTCTCAAGTTTTATCTATAGAAAAACTACTGAACTGTTAAAGCCTTATTAGCATTCATTGCTATTACTTATTCAGGTTTCTCTGGCTTACTTTTAGGTAAATGGTAAATTATTTAACATTAGTTTTATGTCATGGATTGTAAACTGTAAGAAACTAATATCTGAAAATGTGTATTTATTTATGACAACTAATTCTGAATTTGTATTTGAAAGTATGACCACACAGTCTTAGTGTGTTCAAACTAAATATGCCTGTATGGCTGCTGAACATTAAAATTACACTAACCAGTAAAAGAATTAAATTCAGCTTAGGGTTTATTATTATTATTATTATTAAGGTATCATTGATATTCAAGCTTAGATTTCACATGAGCAACATTGTGGTTACTACATTCCCCCTATTATCAAGTCCCCAACATATACCCCATTACAGTCACTGTCCATCAGCATAGTAAGCTTCTCTGTGCTATACTTCCTTCCCCATGCACCCCCTGTGTGTGCTAATCATAATGCCCCTTAATCCTCTTCTCTCCCTTCCCACCAACCCTCCCCACTCCCTTTCCCTTTGTTAACTGTTAGTCCATTCTTGGGTTCTGTGAGTCTACTGGTGTTTTGTTCCTTAATTTTTGCTTTGTTGTTATACTTCACAGATGAGTGAAATCATTTGGTACTTGTATTTTCCCACCTGGCTTATTTCACTGCACATAATACCCTCTAGCTCCATCCATGTTGTTGCAAATGGTAGGATTTGTTTTCTTCTCATGGCTGAATAATATTCCACTGTGTATATGTACAACATCTTCTTTATCCATTCATGTACTGATGGACACTTAGGTTGCTTCCATTTCTTGGCTATTGTAATTAGTGCTGTGATAAACATAGGGGGGCATATGTCTTTTTGAATCTAGGATCCTGTATTATTAGGGTAAATTCCTAGGAGTGGAATTCCTGGGTCAAATGGTATTTCTATTTTTTAGTTTTTTGAGGAACATCCACATTGCTTTCCACAATGGTTGAACTAATTTGCATTCCCACCAGCAGTGTAGGAAGGTTCCACTTTCTCCACATCCTCGCCAGCATTTGTTGTCTGTCTTTTGGATGTTGGCCATCCTGACTGGTGTGAGGTGATATCTCATTGTACTTTTAACAGCTACGGTTTTTTTAAAGTAAAAAAATATTTTCTGGCAGTACCTCCTGGATGGAATTTTTATTCCTTAGTTGATGAAGGTTCGGCAGGGACTACTGAGTAATGTGGGGATACATCACAAAGAATCTAAACAGGAAAACTGTGCATCTCTTTAATTGCTGTCCCTCAGCCAAGAACCCCTCCTTTCACTGAGTTCCTTACGTAAAACGCTCAGCAGGCACATGGCACAGAGTAGGCGGGAGTTGTTGATGGAACCATCGGGAGACTGCTTAGACTCAGAATGCCCCATGTATCTTGGTACCTGAGAACTACATTCAAGTCCAGGGACTGCAGATGAGGACAGTACTAGAGATAGCTCTGCATCATGGCTAAGCAACATGCCATCCTAGGATGGAGGGTGACTTATCCCCACTTGCCTGGAGGTCCCCACTTGCAGCACTGGAAGTCCAGAGAAATCACTCAAGTCTCTGAGGAAACTGGGACATCTGGTCACCATATCCCTGAACCCATTTCATCTGTAAAATGCTGAGGAAATGCCTACCTCCAAACTAGGGCTGTGTGGGGTACCACATCAACAGAGAATGTGAAGCCAGGACCCCCAGGTATTACCTGCCCTTCCCATGGTGGCCCACTCATCCAACCTCTCCATGCCTGTTTCCTCATACATAAAATGGGGTAAAAATCACTCGCCTGGGAGGACCGCTGTGAGGACTAAAGGCTAAAGCATCTCACCCTTCCATGGTGCAGAGCACGGTTACCACAGAGCAAGGCGCTGTTACTACTGCTATTCAGCCTACTTTCTAGCAGTAGTGGATGCTGATAAATATTCATCATTTACTAGGAAGGCCTGCTTAAAACGAATGTAAAAACAGTCAGAGCTTTGGGTCTGTGTTCCTTTCTCCTAATTTAGGGTTATTTGTTGCTTTGTTTCATGAACTCTTCAGAAATCTGGAACTGCACCATGGCCAACACAGAAAGGGGCTACTGAACTGCTAACAGGAGGCTGCCCCCCACCGCCATGCTCCCCTGGACGTGTGGGGAGCCTGGGGACTCACCTACTGCAGGCTGGCCTGGGCGGTTGTCTTTGGAAGCAAGGTCGGTAGAGTACCATGTACAGCACAGACTGGAATTTCCAGGTCTTATTTAAAAACTATAGTGAACAAATAACCACAAAGACTGGAGGACTGAACTGGCTTTAGTTTGCAGGAAACAATAAGGTGCGGAGAGGCCAGGGTGCAGGTCTTGTATGAGCAACGGCCCTTCCCGAGGGTTCCTGGAAAAGACCAGAAAAACATCTGTGCCCAGGAATACCTGTACACACGCTGACACAATGGCTATGCACCGTTTGGTTATCCGGTCGTATGTAGACCAGGGTCTTCTGGCCCCATGGGCTTTGGGGACAGACCTGGCCTCTTGACTAGTGGCCGCTGTTTTATCTCACTGTCAAGGTGGAAGAGCAGGCAGGTGGCAGGCTGGCACGGGGAGCGTTCCGCCTGCACTGACACATCCCGGCCAGGCTGGCGCACAGGCTCCCGGCCACCTCAGCTCCTACGCCAGAGCGGCTCTGCACTGCGGTCCCTGAGTGAGGCTCTCTGCTTCTGCGAGCGGTCGTGCCTGCCCGACCCTGCACGCCTTGGACACGGCAACATTTGCCATCCAGATTTTTCCCCTGTAGCCTATGTGACAGAACTGGATGCACGTGGTCCCCATGGCCATGGGGTCACACTGGGTTCTGCACTTCCAGCCTGGGGAGGCCTGCCATCCATTAGTGCCGGGGGAGCCCCTCGGCCCTCCTGTTGGTCCCACCTCACGTCTGTCTACCTCACCTGCCTGCAGCTTTTTAAGAAAACACTGACAGCCTTGGGTTGAGGCTGCCGTCAGACAGCTTGTCCGGTTCCTCCATTCCTAAGGCCAGTGTAGACTGGCCGCCTCCCAAGTGAATGATTTAAGGCAGAGCTACATTCTGGAAGCCGCTGGCCACATGGGCAGCAGAGCAATGACCAAAGGCAAAGGTAACCAGTAACTGGCCTCATGTGAAAAGCTGGCACCCAGAGCGAGGCCACTACTGAAATGCAATGCGAAGCCACAACTCCTCACCACAGGGGCTCACGTCAGCACAGATTCTGGCCCTTGGGACACTTGGCAGTGACATTTTTGATTGTCACAGTTGGGGTAAGGGGATGGGCGGGGATTCGGAGCAGGCAGAGGACAGGGACTCTGCTCCGACCTGAGGCAGCTAGGACAGCCACCCCAACAAGGAACCATCAAGCCAAATGCCAGCGGAAACCCCGATGTTACACAGCCAAAGGCGGATTCGACCACATGGACAGCAAACTGCCCTCTAGCCCTGGCCTCTCTGCACCAGCTCCACGTGCAGCCTCAGGAAAGGAAATCCCCAGCTACCCAACATCTTCTTTGACAGTTTGGGGGCCACTGTTACTGACACATCAAGAGTATGGCCATATCCACTTTGCAACCATGGTAACAAATAGCCCTTTTGGGTTATGCTGACTTATTTTTACAATGACAAGTAACGTTTTGTAGAAAACAAATGTGGTCTCTACTTCCACGTTTAGATTACTCCTGTGAATCACAGCGGCATTTTAACTACTAGAATAATTCAATGGTTCTACTTGCAGTAGTATAACAAATTTTAATTCAAAATAGACACTCTGAAAACAATAGGTAAAAAAAAAAATAAACTTCCACAAGCTCCGTCTGAATTTACAAGAATATACCAACAATCACAGACCTTGCACAACTGCCTCAAAAATGCACGTTACAGAAATTACATGCAAGCATTATTCTCTTTAAAATCCATATAGTAACATTACCTTATTTCCCAGAGACTGCCATGTCCTCGGCATGTACTGGATGGGTATCTCTGCTGCGTGTAACCAGCAATGACTTAAGGTCTCCACGACTGGTTCTGGTGCTTTAAGTTAGTTCACATTGTGTGAAAAAAACTAAAGTTTACATGTCCAAAGGGCAGAAATACAATGGAGCTCTTTGGCAATACCCCATTGCATTAACCCAGACAACTAGGCTGTGGGAATGCCCATTTCCCAAAAACAAAAACAATTCCCTCTAGGAAACTGTCAGAGGTCTCATATACCTACCATGGAGGCTCAGCTCTTGGCTGCTCATTTCATCTTGTCCCCTGAAAACTGAAGTTTAAGTTTCAATTAGTGTCCACACTCAGGGGTAAAAAACTATTCCTGAGTAACACAGCCCTTCCTTTTCACTGGTTTATGAACAGTTAGGTGAGGAATAGAGTTTGTGTGTGTGTTTTATTCTAAAGGCACTAAAGATTTATTGTCTTACCGTTGAATAGAGAAATGACTTATCACTGTATCAAAAAGAGGGGGGAAGTCTACAGTGAAAAGTATTTGGGCACCTACAGAATTACTTTACTCGTAAATTAACTCCTTTGACTTATGAGCTGAATACCAAGATTCAGGTTCAGTATATTTTAAACAAATGAAAACATTTAGTTCTCTATGAGTTACAATAAAAAACAGCTGTTAGGACAAACCTGAAAAAACAAAAATCAAAACTGTAATCTGATAAGTAACTACTGTACAAAGAAAAAACCAGCGTAGTCAATGCTGTGCATCCTTACAGGGCCGCACGTCACATGGGTTTGTACCCATTTCTCTACACATTTATGGGGCCACTGGTTGCTACACATGCAGCTGACTGAGGGGGTCAGTGCTTTGAACACGCATTCTCAAACAAGATGATGTTCCCTTAAACAAAAAAAACAAGCATGTGGATTTCAGTTTTTATCACTCGATATTGACACTACTGGGAAAATAAGATGTGCATGAAATATCAAAAGATTTAATTTACAGAATGGGGGAAAACTAAAACTGTTATATAATCAAATTGCAGGAAACAAAAAATGGGAAAAAACTATCCACTTCTTTATGTCTGAGCACCTGAAATAAATCTAAAGAGCAGCTTTCAGACCACTGAAATTATTAGTTCAACATAGTGAAGAAAATAACATTTTTTAAATCTCAGTTGAAAAACTACTAATTATCTATTACTTTAGATTTCCTAAGGTTTTTTTTACAAGTTTTGTGGTTCATACTCAAAGTTCAATCTGTGTCTAACATTTTTAAGTTCAGACATATCAAAGCCTAAAAGCACAGAAGCCTTGTGACTTCTTATCGCTTTCATGCAAATATATCTTCTTTTTCCAAAAAACGAAGCCACATCAATTTTCCAGACCCACAAGAGCGAGGACAACAGTTCTATTTCCTTTTTAGTAGGATACGGTCTCTTGTGGAAATAATCTCTAAGAAACTGCTTTTTTTCTTCATAAGAGCAGTCTTCATATTTTTTAGGATTTAACGCTAAAATCTGAAGGGCATCATTGTTGACAAGTGGCGCCTCCATCCTGCTTTCACTACGTTGTCGTTTCAAGGGCAGAGCGCTGGCTGCCTTTTCTGGGGAGGTGGCTGAGCCAGCACTGACGTCCCCATCGCTTGGCTCTTCCACCTCAGCGTGGCCATCAGGTAGCTTCCTCTTCACAGAGAAACCGGTGTCATGAGTCACCTGGCCAGTGGCCAAGAGCACGTCGCTGTCCTCAACCATGGCCGGCTGGCCCTGCAGGTCTGGGCTACTGTCCTTGGGCGCACTTCGGCAGCGCAGCAGGTGGATGGCAATGGCTGCCAGCGTCATGTTGCCGGTGTAAACCCCGCAGCAATGGATGCACTTGAACGCTGGAGACTTCAGGATCGTATGCACTGTTGGTGTGATGTGGTGCCTCTCCTTCAGGTGCAGCTCATAGGCCTCAGTTGTCACAAAGGTGCCAAAGCAGAAGGGGCAGGTCAGCAGGGGCTTGCTGGGGCTGCCAGGTGCACCCTCAGCCTGGGGCCTCACTTTGATGTACACGGGCACCAGCGACTTGGAGTGGTTTCCGGCCAGGACTGCCAGGTACACCTCCCGCTCCCCAAGCTCCTCCTTTGGCAAAATGGTGATGAAATCAAGATGGGGAAACAGAAGGCTGCCGTTAGCATCAAAATCCAGCTGGAAACCTCTGTTACTGTAGTCCACGGGCAGCTTCTTCTTGCCCAGGTGCATGGTCCTGCTATGCTCTGAGAGACCCTTGATGTCATGGAACGTGCGCGGGCAGAAGAGGCAGCCTAGGCCGTGCATGAGTAAGTGGTGGATAAGCTCGCTCTCTGACACCAGGCACTTACATGACAGACACCGGGCTGTCTTCTCTCTCACCCACTTCAGAAATGGTGCGCATGCTGCCAGTTTTTCAGGCTCCAGTCTCTCAGCAGACTTGGATTCACTGTGCTTATGAGCCACTTCCATATGCACCTGGTACACATTGGAAGGGAAGAGCTCATTGCAAACTGGGCAGGTTTTCCACTGCTTTGCCTGCCTGAGCACCTGATCTGCCTCTGCGCCAGGAGGAGGGGCCTGAACAAACACACTCTGAGCAGCATTCACCACCACCGGAGGGGAGGGCATGCCGGCTGTGCCCCCAGCCATCTGCGCAGCTGCGCCTGGCTGCAGGAGCTGCATGGGCACCTGGGGTGGGGCAACAGTTGCCACACCTCCAGGTGGCACGGGCAAAGTGACAGACACCGGGGCCAGGGTGTACGTGGGAATCCCATTCACCTGCTTCCCCGTAGGTATCAGCTGTCTGAGGATAGAGCCTGATGTCAGGAAGGTGGTGTTCTGCGAAGCGCCAGGCCTCACTGGCTGATCCGGCAGAATGCCGGCACCCATGCTCACAGGCCGAGTAGGCTGCAGGACCCCAGGCCTTACCGGCTGGCCCACAGGTAGCACCCCTGACATGACCGGCTGACGGAGCTGAAGGACTCCGGAATTAACTCCCTGGTTCACAGACAGAACACCCGACGGGACCGCTGGGCTGGCAGAAAGGAGCCCGGGTGGGACCACCTGGGCTGCTGGCAGAACCCTGAGTGGGACCGTTGGGCCAGGAGGGAGAACCCGGGATGGGGCCATAAGCCCAGTGGGAAGAACTCCGGGTGGGACCACCTGGCCCACAGGGAGGACACCAGAGGCTGCTGTCTTTCCAGAAGGGACGACCCCAGCCGGGGCCATCTGGCCTGCAGGAAGGACCCCAGACGGGGCTGTCCGACTCACAGAAATCACCCCAGGTGACACTGCCTGAAGAACCCCAGCAGTGACTGATGGGTTGACAGGAAGGACACCAGACCCCACAGGTCTAGCCTTGGGTTGAGGCTGCCGTCAGACAGCTTGTCCGGTTCCTCCATTCCTAAGGCCAGTGTAGACTGGCCGCCTCCCAAGTGAATGATTTAAGGCAGAGCTACATTCTGGAAGCCGCTGGCCACATGGGCAGCAGAGCAATGACCAAAGGCAAAGGTAACCAGTAACTGGCCTCATGTGAAAAGCTGGCACCCAGAGCGAGGCCACTACTGAAATGCAATGCGAAGCCACAACTCCTCACCACAGGGGCTCACGTCAGCACAGATTCTGGCCCTTGGGACACTTGGCAGTGACGTTTTTGATTGTCACAGTTGGGGTAAGGGGATGGGCGGGGATTCGGAGCAGGCAGAGGACAGGGACTCTGCTCCGACCTGAGGCAGCTAGGACAGCCACCCCAACAAGGAACCATCAAGCCAAATGCCAGCGGAAACCCCGATGTTACACAGCCAAAGGCGGATTCGACCACATGGACAGCAAACTGCCCTCTAGCCCTGGCCTCTCTGCACCAGCTCCACGTGCAGCCTCAGGAAAGGAAATCCCCAGCTACCCAACATCTTCTTTGACAGTTTGGGGGCCACTGTTACTGACACATCAAGAGTATGGCCATATCCACTTTGCAACCATGGTAACAAATAGCCCTTTTGGGTTATGCTGACTTATTTTTACAATGACAAGTAACGTTTTGTAGAAAACAAATGTGGTCTCTACTTCCACGTTTAGATTACTCCTGTGAATCACAGCGGCATTTTAACTACTAGAATAATTCAATGGTTCTACTTGCAGTAGTATAACAAATTTTAATTCAAAATAGACACTCTGAAAACAATAGGTAAAAAAAAAAATAAACTTCCACAAGCTCCGTCTGAATTTACAAGAATATACCAACAATCACAGACCTTGCACAACTGCCTCAAAAATGCACGTTACAGAAATTACATGCAAGCATTATTCTCTTTAAAATCCATATAGTAACATTACCTTATTTCCCAGAGACTGCCATGTCCTCGGCATGTACTGGATGGGTATCTCTGCTGCGTGTAACCAGCAATGACTTAAGGTCTCCACGACTGGTTCTGGTGCTTTAAGTTAGTTCACATTGTGTGAAAAAAACTAAAGTTTACATGTCCAAAGGGCAGAAATACAATGGAGCTCTTTGGCAATACCCCATTGCATTAACCCAGACAACTAGGCTGTGGGAATGCCCATTTCCCAAAAACAAAAACAATTCCCTCTAGGAAACTGTCAGAGGTCTCATATACCTACCATGGAGGCTCAGCTCTTGGCTGCTCATTTCATCTTGTCCCCTGAAAACTGAAGTTTAAGTTTCAATTAGTGTCCACACTCAGGGGTAAAAAACTATTCCTGAGTAACACAGCCCTTCCTTTTCACTGGTTTATGAACAGTTAGGTGAGGAATAGAGTTTGTGTGTGTGTTTTATTCTAAAGGCACTAAAGATTTATTGTCTTACCGTTGAATAGAGAAATGACTTATCACTGTATCAAAAAGAGGGGGGAAGTCTACAGTGAAAAGTATTTCGGCACCTACAGAATTACTTTACTCGTAAAATAACTCCTTTGACTTATGAGCTGAATACCAAGATTCAGGTTCAGTATATTTTAAACAAATGAAAACATTTAGTTCTCTGAGTTACAATAAAAAACAGCTGTTAGGACAAACCTGAAAAAACAAAAATCAAAACTGTAATCTGATAAGTAACTACTGTACAAAGAAAAAACCAGCGTAGTCAATGCTGTGCATCCTTACAGGGCCGCACGTCACATGGGTTTGTACCCATTTCTCTACACATTTATGGGGCCACTGGTTGCTACACATGCAGCTGACTGAGGGGGTCAGTGCTTTGAACACGCATTCTCAAACAAGATGATGTTCCCTTAAACAAAAAAAACAAGCATGTGGATTTCAGTTTTTATCACTCGATATTGACACTACTGGGAAAATAAGATGTGCATGAAATATCAAAAGATTTAATTTACAGAATGGGGGAAAACTAAAACTGTTATATAATCAAATTGCAGGAAACAAAAAATGGGAAAAAACTATCCACTTCTTTATGTCTGAGCACCTGAAATAAATCTAAAGAGCAGCTTTCAGACCACTGAAATTATTAGTTCAACATAGTGAAGAAAATAACATTTTTTAAATCTCAGTTGAAAAACTACTAATTATCTATTACTTTAGATTTCCTAAGGTTTTTTTTACAAGTTTTGTGGTTCATACTCAAAGTTCAATCTGTGTCTAACATTTTTAAGTTCAGACATATCAAAGCCTAAAAGCACAGAAGCCTTGTGACTTCTTATCGCTTTCATGCAAATATATCTTCTTTTTCCAAAAAACGAAGCCACATCAATTTTCCAGACCCACAAGAGCGAGGACAACAGTTCTATTTCCTTTTTAGTAGGATACGGTCTCTTGTGGAAATAATCTCTAAGAAACTGCTTTTTTTCTTCATAAGAGCAGTCTTCATATTTTTTAGGATTTAACGCTAAAATCTGAAGGGCATCATTGTTGACAAGTGGCGCCTCCATCCTGCTTTCACTACGTTGTCGTTTCAAGGGCAGAGCGCTGGCTGCCTTTTCTGGGGAGGTGGCTGAGCCAGCACTGACGTCCCCATCGCTTGGCTCTTCCACCTCAGCGTGGCCATCAGGTAGCTTCCTCTTCACAGAGAAACCGGTGTCATGAGTCACCTGGCCAGTGGCCAAGAGCACGTCGCTGTCCTCAACCATGGCCGGCTGGCCCTGCAGGTCTGGGCTACTGTCCTTGGGCGCACTTCGGCAGCGCAGCAGGTGGATGGCAATGGCTGCCAGCGTCATGTTGCCGGTGTAAACCCCGCAGCAATGGATGCACTTGAACGCTGGAGACTTCAGGATCGTATGCACTGTTGGTGTGATGTGGTGCCTCTCCTTCAGGTGCAGCTCATAGGCCTCAGTTGTCACAAAGGTGCCAAAGCAGAAGGGGCAGGTCAGCAGGGGCTTGCTGGGGCTGCCAGGTGCACCCTCAGCCTGGGGCCTCACTTTGATGTACACGGGCACCAGCGACTTGGAGTGGTTTCCGGCCAGGACTGCCAGGTACACCTCCCGCTCCCCAAGCTCCTCCTTTGGCAAAATGGTGATGAAATCAAGATGGGGAAACAGAAGGCTGCCGTTAGCATCAAAATCCAGCTGGAAACCTCTGTTACTGTAGTCCACGGGCAGCTTCTTCTTGCCCAGGTGCATGGTCCTGCTATGCTCTGAGAGACCCTTGATGTCATGGAACGTGCGCGGGCAGAAGAGGCAGCCTAGGCCGTGCATGAGTAAGTGGTGGATAAGCTCGCTCTCTGACACCAGGCACTTACATGACAGACACCGGGCTGTCTTCTCTCTCACCCACTTCAGAAATGGTGCGCATGCTGCCAGTTTTTCAGGCTCCAGTCTCTCAGCAGACTTGGATTCACTGTGCTTATGAGCCACTTCCATATGCACCTGGTACACATTGGAAGGGAAGAGCTCATTGCAAACTGGGCAGGTTTTCCACTGCTTTGCCTGCCTGAGCACCTGATCTGCCTCTGCGCCAGGAGGAGGGGCCTGAACAAACACACTCTGAGCAGCATTCACCACCACCGGAGGGGAGGGCATGCCGGCTGTGCCCCCAGCCATCTGCGCAGCTGCGCCTGGCTGCAGGAGCTGCATGGGCACCTGGGGTGGGGCAACAGTTGCCACACCTCCAGGTGGCACGGGCAAAGTGACAGACACCGGGGCCAGGGTGTACGTGGGAATCCCATTCACCTGCTTCCCCGTAGGTATCAGCTGTCTGAGGATAGAGCCTGATGTCAGGAAGGTGGTGTTCTGCGAAGCGCCAGGCCTCACTGGCTGATCCGGCAGAATGCCGGCACCCATGCTCACAGGCCGAGTAGGCTGCAGGACCCCAGGCCTTACCGGCTGGCCCACAGGTAGCACCCCTGACATGACCGGCTGACGGAGCTGAAGGACTCCGGAATTAACTCCCTGGTTCACAGACAGAACACCCGACGGGACCGCTGGGCTGGCAGAAAGGAGCCCGGGTGGGACCACCTGGGCTGCTGGCAGAACCCTGAGTGGGACCGTTGGGCCAGGAGGGAGAACCCGGGATGGGGCCATAAGCCCAGTGGGAAGAACTCCGGGTGGGACCACCTGGCCCACAGGGAGGACACCAGAGGCTGCTGTCTTTCCAGAAGGGACGACCCCAGCCGGGGCCATCTGGCCTGCAGGAAGGACCCCAGACGGGGCTGTCCGACTCACAGAAATCACCCCAGGTGACACTGCCTGAAGAACCCCAGCAGTGACTGATGGGTTGACAGGAAGGACACCAGACCCCACAGGTCTGTTCACTGAGAGAACTCCTGGTCCGACAGGTCTGCTCATGGGCCCAACCGGCTGGCTGAGGGGTAACACCCCTGGGCGGATGGTCTGGTTTATGGGGAGGACGCCAGTTCTCACAGACTTGTTTATGGGCCCAACTGGCTGACTCAAGGGCAGCGCAGAAGGGTTGGCAGACTGGTTAAGGGAAACTCCGTGAGAAAGAAAGACAGGCTGCGGGGCTGAGGGTGGCAGGGCAAGGTTGCTCTGGCCTACCGGCAGGGCACTGGAGACCAAAGTCACCTGGGGCTGGGCAACAGCAGGCGGAGAGCACGTGAGGCTGCCTGCGGCACCAGAGGCCGCAGTCACCGGCTGGACGGTGCTTGGACTCTGACTTTGACTGCTCTGTGGCAAGGCGACACAAAAGCAAGGAGGTGTGGCTGGGACGGCCGGTGCACTGCGGTTCGGGGGTGTGGGCAAAGGCACAGCAGGTTTGGGAGCAATATGCATTTGCTTCAGAAGTCCCGTCTTCTTAATGTGTTCTGAAATCACAGATCTAAGCTTATTCTCCAAATCCCTGTGGATATCCGATGTCAAAATATGATACATTAAAGCATCCTGGCTGCTGGCATTGGCGTTGCACTTTTTACAGTAATACTTGTCAGGTGGCGGCATCCTTTCAGCAGAAAGGGCATCCTCAGTTTTCGGCTGTGCGCCCATTTCCTCAGTTCGTAGGCCAAAGTAGGAGTTAATTAAGTGGTGAAAATGGGCTACCAGCACATGCTTCTTCATGCTATAGTACAAAGTGTTCGAAAAATTACATTTTAAACATGTGAAACTTATCACATCACTCCTAGATGCTTTAGTTTCACCTAAAATATTCACTGTGTGGGTCTGGACTTTCCGAACAGGTGCATGGAACATTCTGAAATGCCGCCCCACAACTTTGGGTTGAGAAGAAAATACACAGTTTGGACAAGGGATCACCAGCTCTTGGTCAATTTCATCTTCATGGTAACGATGTAAATGGTTTTTGAATGAAGTAAGCACTTTTGTGGAGTATTTACACACGCCACAGCAGTAAGGCTTTGTCCGGTACCTCTGCTAAAAGCAAAGCAAAGCACAGTTTAGTCAAACTATCAGATCTACACCTTTCATAGGTCACAAGTATGTGATTCCTTTTCTTCTAAGGTGACAGACAATCTAATGCAATTACTCCTCAGGGAACAATGTTTTCTTTAAGCCAGGTAGGCTTTTTCTTAAAGGGCCAAGGCCAGGCTGAGGCTTACGTCAGGGCAGGCTTTGTGCTCATGAAGCTAGATACCAATTCAAATTTCATGTAACTTTCGTGTCACAAAACAGTATTCTTTTCATTGTGTTTCTTCTCAAACATTTAAAAATGTACATCTACTCCTAGTTTGTAGGCCTTACAAACACAGAATTTGACCTGCCTGCAACTCATAGGTTTGCTGACCTGTTTCGAAGCCAGACACTAAGATGACAAATCTCATTACTTCAATCTATACTTTAACTGCATAGAATAAAATTAACTCACTTAGTTCTCTGGAAAATAAGTTATTTTCTCCCCTTCTTATCCTATTGCTCTTAGCTCTGTGTTTTTACTCTAAATTCTAAAACCTCTGGAATTTATCTACAAATAACCTAACCTGCAAACTGTTAACCCCATCATTCCCACCTTTTATTTCCCCCAGTCCTAGAGAAGGTAAGAGCCCAGTGGAAAACAGACAGGGCTTAGCACATGAGTCTCCAGTCAGCACCATGGCCAATACTAAGGGCAGTGGACAGCACCTACATCCGCTGTGTGGGGCACTGCGGGCCAGCTAGGAACACAGAGCACAGGCTGCCGATGTGGCGTTTCTCCCTAAGGCAGATACAGGGGAATCCAATCAGCCTGGGACATGGGAACAGACATCTGAACTGGCCAACACAGTGCAATCTGGATCTGTGCTCAAATCCATGAAGTGCTGGTGTGAGGATTTCATGGCACTGGTGTCTTTCATGGATCCTCGAGCTGGTAAACCACCAAACACTGGGCCCAGCATCACCAAGGAGGATGGCGAGGCCTGTGCACAGTGAGCACTTCACCGGTGGCCTTCCCACACTGCCCTCAGTGGCCAAAGCCCCTCCTTCCTAGACCCGTGCTGTCGTGCCCACTTCTCAAGCTTGAACACACATGCGTTCCCGTTCTGTCAGTGGGTCCCCCGCTCACACTCCTACTCGTGTGGTTTTTCCTCTTGAGTCACAGGTCAGAGAAATCATCCAAACACACTCAACGACACATTACTTCCTGGCAGTTAGCAAAATCCCAGGTGCTGGCATTTCTGGTGAGGATCGATAATAAACCTAGGGCAACAGCTAACCCCAGACCACAGAATTTAAAAACCCTGCATTTCACTGATTCTACAAGACTTTTTTCATATTTTACCATTTATAAAACCTGGGTATGCCTTACAATGGACGGTTCAATGATGTGACACAGTTCAAGTAAAGTATTGCTTTATTTCTGTCATTGGCTCATTAAATAATGGTGTGTCTTAAATGGTATCCAAATGCCAAATGAACACATGAAAAAATGCTCAACATCATTAGTCACTAGGGAGGCAAATTAAAACAGAAAGAGAACAGCAAGTCCATAGGCACAAGACAACAGATACCAAGTCCAGATGCAGCAGCTATCACCACGGATGGGAAAGCAAAATGGTGCAGCCATTGACAGCTGTCATGGATACATACTTATGTACCATGTATGACCCAGCAAACTCAAGCTGAGGCATTTATCCAAGAGATAGGAAAGCATATGTTCCCACAAAAACCTGTATGTGAAAGGTGTAGAACACTGTTCAACCGGGAACAATCCGAGTGTGAGACCTTGACTCACCGGTAACAGAGGAAGAGAAAACCACCAAGGCGAGAGCAGAAAAGTGGCGTCAGGACCCCTGAGCACTGGCAGAGATCCTGCACCGGGAGCAGTCCATTGGCTCCCGGCCAGGTCAAGCCTGCTGCCTCGGATTGCATGGTAACAGTTCTATCACCTGCTACAACCAACCTTCGTGTGTCTCTGTCCCCAAAACCCAAAAATCTAGCACGTCTTGTTCCTCTGAGCCCTGAGGACCTCACTGAATCTGGAGCCACACAGTCCTTCGTGATTGCACCACATTTCTGCTAGGTTGTCTGCAATGTCTCTGCTCATAAATCATATTCCCCAGAGACAAATTAAAGCAGAAGACGGCCTCAGGAATGAAGAGGAGTCAAGGCACCAAAACGAGCAGACAGCACGGCCTACATCATTCCAGGCAACAGCATTTTTTTTTTTTTACCAAATATGGTGTCTATTTAATAAGTTCGATCACTATTATTTCATATTGTTGTTTAACATTTTGTATGCAGGCCCTATCCACCCCAACAAAAACAAACTGCTTGAGGATAAGCCCCCAACTTCTTTCTGTCTGGCACTCAAAAGCTTTACTACTCTGTAGCAGGGATTGTTTCTTGATGAAAGGCATATAATTATATATTGTACTGCATGCTAGTTACATTATAGGACCTTTTAAGAATTCAGATGAGAAAAATCAGTGAGAACTAATAAGAGATTCATGAAGTCAAGGTCTTCAAAGTGAGGCATATTTGAATAGCCATGAGCTGTTTTGAGCAGGAAAATAACCAAATCAGAGTGGTTTCAAGGAATCTTGTGTCTGATGGTAGAGGGGAGAGTTGGGTGAAGCAGGATAAGGGACCCACAGGTAGGACACAAAACAAGAGGCAGGAATGTGGGACTCGGGGCTAGGTCTACAACAGAAAGGTCCTTAAAGAAAACTACAACAGCACAATGACTGACTACTTTTTTTTAATAGCCAAAACTCCCAAGACCAACACGACTCGGACAGACCGAGTGGGAGGACAGGACAATTAAGTAAAATCTGAGACCTGCTGAGTTTGATTCTAATGAAGGTGCTTGACCTAATGGGTGGCTGGATGGTAAGAAGAGTTTTCCAGAAGAAAATACTTTAATATGGAGAATGTAGCTTGTATCTGCCTAGGTTTGAGGTTTCAAATTATTATAAGTTATGTTCCTCAATTCAAATATCCATATTTCCATTTTAGTTTCTGAAACCAGGTGCCCCTTCATTATGTACAGTCAACATCATGGTGTTTCTCTTCACTCAGAGTAGTCGCACATCAAAGACCCTCCTTATGCTCAAAGACAGACAGTTTCACTACACTACCTAATCAACTTTATATGCAGAAAACCCTCAGAGCACCCATAACCCTATAGTACAAAGCACTTGCCACCATCCTTCCTTCCACTTCCCTCGTGTTTACACTGCTCCCCACCCGACTCAGTTATCAGCAACCCCAGGTACATGTGGTGGTCCTCAGAACTAAACTGACACCCCAAGTTGGAGGAAATGTGAAAATCAAATACAAAATACATACCACTTTTTTTCCGGAAGGTTCCCAGAGAGAAACATCTCCCCATGATGTGTTATAAAAGTATTTCTCTCCTGGATCAAAGCCTTTAAGGTCCTTTAAAAGGGAAAAAGAGAGAGATCATTATGCAATTCTATAAGATAAATCAAGATCTAATTAGCACCTGAGAGGATCATGTGGCACCATGAACCCACAGGGGAAGCAAACGAAAACGCAGCCCACGAGCAGACAGACAGCGCACAGCAGCCGCTGGTGGCAAACATCGCCCTGGAGCAGACAGTGTCTCCCAACAACGTGGGCAGACTGGACGACTCCGGGGTGGTGGAGGCTGAAGCTGGAGCTCCAAAGACAGGGGTGGCTGGAGACACACCGAGAACCTAACAGCCACATGCAACAGGGTCCAGACAGAACCCTCATCCAAACAAACCAAGCATGAGAAATATCTGGAAGGAAATTGGAGAAATCAGAATATGGACTGTTCATTAAATAAGACGGACATTTAATGACACAGAAAGACGAAGGTAACCAAAAAAGCGTGATCGGTATGAGCTCACTGTGGTAAAGACTACACAACACGTACACATGTATAAACACACACACACGAAAGAGAGAGCTTAACAGTTAAGATGTTAGTAGTGGTAATCTCTGAATGACAGAATTGTGGCATTTTAAATTTAATTTTATTTCTAAAAAAAAATAATTACCTGTTTTCTCTAACACTTTATATTACTGTTTTTTATACAGTTATTTTTAAAGATCAAAAAAATAATTATTTAAGTCAGAGAATGATATTTAATGTAGTTATTGCCTGTGAATACACCTATGCTAATACACTGCTCACCAAGTCAGTTCAGAACTAGAGAAAAGGTACACTAGGATAAGGATTTAAATTGGAAACAACAATGGACCACGTGGCTCGTGGAGTAGGCAGGGGCACGATACATGACAACAGCAGCACAAGGTCTGGGGGGAAGCACCAGCACATGATATGGAAGCCGTGCACAAAAGCAGCTACAGACAATATTCAAACCATAACATGCACGGCTGAGCTTCATGAAAGGTCATTTACAAAACAGATAGCAATCCAGATTTGGCCCATGGGCCATAGTTTGCCTGCCCTGGTCTAAATACTCAAATTAAGAGGCACCAACTGTGAGACTGGGCAAACAAACAAGATTCAGTTGCCTACAAAAAACCTCCTTAAATATAAAGACATTGACATGTTAAAGGTGAAAAGATATGCTATTATGCTACCATTAATCAAAGAAAGCTGCAGGAGCTATATTAGTATCAACAAAGTACATTTCAGGAGGAAAAAGATTCTTATTACGGATAGAAAGTCATGTCCTGATAATGGGGCCAATTCATCAACATAATAATCCTACATGTGTGTGCACTTGGAAAAGAGTTTCAAAGTACATGAAGCAAAAACTGAACTGAAAAGAGAAACAATCAAATCCAAAATCATATCTGGAGACTCCAACACCCTTTCTCTCAACAACTGACAGAACAAGTCCACAAAAGTCAGGAAGGATAGAAAGGCCTCAACACCACCAAACTAAACTGACCACTGACAGCAGCAAAACACACATGGAACACTTACCCAACGGGTCCGTAAATTAGAAGCTTGAGTGATCATACAGTCTACACTGCCACCTTAAGAAACCAGACAAACTGAATAAATGAACCCTAAACAACAAAAAGGAAAGCATAAAGGGTAGAAATAAACGAAATAGAAAACAGACAATAGAAAAATCAATGAAACCAAAAACTCTTTCTTTTAAAAGAGAGTAAAAATTTACAAACCTCTGTTTAGACTGAACAGTAAAAAAAGAGAAGACACAAATTACCAATATCAAAATACAAAAGGGGTTATCACTATAACTAAGGAAATATGCCAATAAATTTGACTACTGGAATTGAACTAGATGGATTCCTTAAAACACAAACTACCTAAAACTCACTCACTAAAAAAAAAACACTAGGTGTAACATGATAGCCTGATATCTAGTTGAGAAACTGAAATCATAGAAACCTTCCCACAAAGAAAACTCCATGATGGCTTCATTGGAAATTCTATTCACTAAGCATTTACAGAAGAAATACTGTCAATTCTACATAAGCTCTTCCAGACAATGAGGAAGAAAAAAGTCCCATTCGTTCCAAGAGGCCAGCATTATTTTTATACCAAAACTAGTCACAGATATTACAAAAAAAGAAAACTAAAGATCCTATCATTCATGAAAACAGATGCAAAAATTCCTAAACAAAAACTCTACAAATCGATCCAACATATTAAAAAAACGAAGTGGAATTTATCCCAGTGGTACAGATCAGTTTAACAGTTTACTGAAACACCAAACACATAATTCGCTTAACTAGAATAAAAAAGAAAGATGATTATCTTAATAGATGCAGAAAAACCATCTGAGAAAAGTCAACATCCTGTCATAATTTTTGCTCTCAGCAAAGTAGGTAATAAGGACTTTCCCAACCTGAAAAAGGTTGAGAAACCAGTCATGCTGTGTGGTAGCAGAATGAACAACATTGTTATTGCTATCGTTAAGTTTTACTTCAAAACACAGCTGACACTTGAACAATACAGGAGGGAGTTAGGGGCGCCGACTCCCCATGCAGCCAAATACCCAAGTACAGCTATGAAGAGCCTACTGTTGAACAGAAGCTTTACCAATAACATGAACAGTTGATTAACATGTTTTGTGTTCTATGTCTTATACACTGTATTCTTACAATACAATAACTTACAGAAAAGAAGTCTTTAAAATGTTCCAATCTATTTTCTGGAAAAACCCCACATGTAAGTGGACCCACACTGTTTGAGCCAATGTTGTGCATGGATCAGCTGTATTTTAAAAAACCAATGCCACCGAATGTTTTTAAGGATGTGGAGCAACTGAAATCCTCACACACCCATGAAAGTGTGTAAAATCATACAACTACTTTGGAATAAAGGTCTAGCCATTTCCTATAAAATTGAGCTTACAACTTTATAATTATGCATATATGTATTTTTCTAAGAGAAATCAAAACAAATGTTGCCAAAATACTTTCCAAGAATATCCCTAAGAATCTTTTTCATAATAACCAAAAACTGAGAACAGCCTAAGTGTCCACCATCAGGAGAAAGGATCAACAGACAAGTTCAGTTAAGGCAGTGGACTGCTACTCAGCCACGTCCAAGGATCTTCCACAGGAGTACATACTATTCCAATTACACAAAACTATAGAACAGTCAAATATTATACTGAAACCTTTCAGAACAGCAGTGGCCAGTGGGGCAAGGGCAGGGTTTGACTGGGAAATGGTTTGCAGGAAATTTCTGGATAGCATTGTTCTGTACCTTGACAGCGGTTTGTAGTACATGAGTATATGCATGTCAAATTGTTTGTGGAGATGTTTAAGGTACATTTCAGAGCAAGGAAAGTGTCCTACTCCCCAAAAAAGTGCCAACAAATACTAAACTCTAGTTAATAATACATATGCTGAAGAGTTTAAAAGTTAAGTGTACCCATGCCTGTAATTTTCTTTGAAATGCATTAAAAAATAAGTGATGGGTGTACACATACGTGTGTGTACACATATGTATGTGTATATATACACACATTTATATATATATATGTTTTATATTTATTTTTTATATATTTATATTTAGTTTATATAAATATATATATGTAAATGTTCATTTTGTAAAATTTAAGTAGTAGGTAGATGGGTTTTCACTATACAATCCTTTCAACATTTCTGTAAGTTTAAATCTTCACAGGAAAATTCTGAAAATGAATGAACAGTGATGTCCTGTCACAGGAGATAAGGGAGAAGAGTTTAAAGGGAGGTGTGCTTCACACTGTCACGTGCTGCAAAATAAAAGCTAATAAGAAAAAAAATGAGGAGATAAATGGAAGAAGGTATGACAATATTTCAATACATTTTTACAGATAAGGTGTAGAAACATAAGTTAGTAATTTTTTTTTAATCTATACATACGTAGGTCTCCACAGATTGTGACAGAGGTAGGTTTAGGGCATCGGTTTTATTTAAAGCATCACTGATTCAGATGCAGCAACCCAAAATTTGTAAACAATGGTTTAAACAACTCTAGCGAATCTATGAACTTGCATAGAAGTGAAGCGGAGAGGAGCAGGAGCTCAGGGGTGCAGGTACCTCGGACACGGCCACTCTGAGCAAGGCTGAACGTGATGCGATGGCGCAAAGAACTGAGAGTAAGAGGACTCAAATTTCTATACCAAAGGCCACCTTCCTGGGGGTTTTCTAAGGAGGGAGAACAAGGCCACCTCCAGAAAGAGCTCTGGAGGAGACAGAAAGCAACAGGAGATCGTTAAGAAAAAAAGTGCAACAAGATAATTACCCTCAAGTTGATAAAAATGATCATGGATCCACATTTCTACTCAACAGCCAACATTAATTCCCTTCTACCTCATCCTGCCCGCAGTAAATCTTAGATACTTTGAAACACTAATCTAGGGACCTTCTGTTTTAACCACTATTTTTCCCTACCATTTCTTTAACATCAAAGATTTCTGGCCTTCCTGACAGTAACTATTAGCTGAGAAAATATAACACGGAAACAACTAGACCAGTAGTACTTTTGGACAAATTCAGGCATTATCAATCCCATGGGTATCTAGGAACACCTGAAACAGATCAGTGATTTAACGGGAGAGATGACTTGCTCAATTCTCGAACAATGCTTCACTCACCTGTGAATTTCCAAACTACCAGAGAAGCTACAGTAATTCCCTAACTTCCCAATTCCTCAAGGGCCCACAGCACACAGAGTCCAATTAACACTCTAGTCCAATTAACACATCACACACAGAAAAAAAAGAGTGCCTTTTCCACTCTCTTGTTGATTACGTTTGCGTGTGTTTTAAAATCAAGCAACCCACTACTCATTTCCCTACATTTTAATGAGTGAAATATCACTATCCACGGGATGTGCTGGGCTGACTGGGCTGACCAAAAACCAGAAAAGGCTGATCAGGGTGGATGCGTGCTATGGGGCCAGCCCACTCAGGTATGCCAAATACTCTCGTAGCACTATTTCTCAAAAGGAA